GGAGGGCCAGTTTATGGATGGACCCGATGAAGATAATTTGCACTCGATTTGACCGAAAAGGTCCCACAAAAGTCACACGAGCTTATTGAGCTTGCATAGTCTGAGCTGTTGTTGCTCATCGACAGAGCCAATCTCAAGTCGTAATATGTCAACTGCAGGCATGCTAAGTCCAAGGGACACATTTTTTGCAAGTGCCAAGTCACACCAATGGCCACAGCCGAACTTCTGTAATCCTATCTCCATCTCAGGTCCACAAACTGGTTGTCGCGTTGTCAGTCATACAATCCAAACGCTGCTTCATGAGGCATTCGATAATTCGCCTTTAGATTTCAGCCGAATAGCTGGGGCATTTATAGATATCAATGTGCATTTCAACCTACAATGTCTCCCTCCGTATGATGAACGCTTGTCTCATAGTCTGTGAAAGACAGACTTGTGTATTCGTTCGAAAATATGACAATTCTAGGTCTTCTTTGTCCCCCATCCATGAGGATGAGTATTGCTCCCTCAAAAAAACATGTGTGTTCCTAGACCAAATATATGCATGCCCTAACCCAATTATACAGCAGGATATTCCAACTTCAATGCGATATCATTGGTAGTTACATCCTGAATGGAAAGATTCGTATATGAGGATCAACCAAAGACAAGCACTGCGAGTTGAAAAGCGCATTGCATTCTTGAGACAAGGTACATGGGGTTAGACCTAACCTAGAACACACACTAGCCTAGTCTAGAGTAACAATATATGATTGTGTCTTTTCTAGTTTGAGAATGTGAGAGCTCGGCTAGGTCACGTACTGATTTACGTACAAATGGTTTGACAATTTGATCGGAGCCATGTGACAAAAGAACTTTGAGAAGATGGATTATCGAGCTGCAATATCTTCACTGAACTTGGGAAAGGTCATGAGGTAAAAGCTATAAGAAAAGCATCAAATCAGGATTGTTTCACAAACGATGTCAACAGAAGATCTGGGCGGAGATTGAGGTTGTGCTCGGTTCTGCCTTGCCAGCCACGATACCATGTAAGTGTTTTAGATCTCGAGTCCACTTTTCTGTTTCAATCTAGCTGTTGCTGCCGACAATCCTTGTCATGTTTCGATCTCGATACCGATGCGAGGGGTTGCGATAACGGAAAGCTCTCCGAGTGCTAGGCCGCAGGACCAAGTCTCCTTGAAGAAATCGCGACTCGTCAGCCAACGGCTGAACATCTTTTAGAATGCAAATCGTCGTTATTCGCCGAAGATATCCTCACGCTGGAAAACGACATGGATGCCTGGAATTCGCCCCACTCAATCAGCCTTTCCATCAGGCTGCTGCACTCTCTTTACTGACCTGAGCAGCATTGATTGTTTTCCAGATCTGTCAGTAAGTCCAACAGTCGAGTGAAAGCATGGTCGATCCTTTCCCAGTCACGGATAAACAAAGAATGTCACCATAAAGTTTGCCGTAGTTTGGGTAACGTGCTTTCGGTGAAATTGCAATTTCTGCCCACTTGACATACATTTGCCGTTTATCTCCAAATCACGGAATGTACCGAATCTGTAAAGCACCTCTAGCGTGAAGTCATTAATACGTACATTTATGAGACACGGCCTAAGACAAGAAACTGCATGGTGTCAACGGCTGCTGTTTGGATCTATGCAAGGACATGTTGGAATGGGTCCGACTTGGCCGTGGAAAATCCAAACTTCAGAAGTCAGAACTGCTAGTTTGCTATACAGTTGCAGCTACGTCGAGAGAGTAGTAAAGGCAAAGGTCGTTTTGATTTTTACTCGTTCCTCTTCGCTGCACTCGATCCACCTCGAAAGTTGGCCAAGTCTTCGTAGCCCATGGAGGACTTATTCTTACTCTTTGGCGGTGATCATGTATCCAGCTGGCGTGGAGAGCTGCTGGTTGCAATGTGTTCGAAGTCTGCTACTAGGTCTGTGTTGTCATCGTGGTTTATCTCATGCCTCTCCATGCATCCTCGTCTTGCAGATCGAAAGGCTCATTGCATAGATGCTAATAGGAATCCCCTGCCATGTGCCTAAGAATCTCCTGAGTCCCGCAAGTTCTACAGAAAGATGAAGTATGAAAACATCATGTTCTTCCTCATAACTGCGCTTGCGAGTGTCGTTGATAGTGGGCTCGGTAGGTGCACTTACTAATTCAACTTACGGTGAAAGATTGGAATGGAATCACGTGCTTGATATCTAGAGTTTGCTTCTCCCTTGTCTGAAAACCTAGCACGTTCCGCCCACGCTTTATTCTCCACATTCAAATATTCTTTCATAAAGGAAGTACAACTACCAGAAAACAGTTTCTGGTGAAAGTCATAAGTCATTCCTGGATTGATGTACCATCCCTTGATGTTGCTAGTGGGTTTTGAATGTAGATAGGTTAAAGAGCATGCATGTTCTAAAATCGTCAAGGTGACATGTCTAGAAATTGTGAAGGCTAGAAGACTAGCTATTTAAGAATTTAACCGGTAGAGAAGTTGGAGATTAGAGTTTGAAATCATATACATAAGTGCATTCACTTGGACTTGCGAGGTACAAAAACATTTCAAGGTAAAAATGTGCGATTTTTTTGTCTAGAATACAGTTCAATTATATCCTCGTAAAAAAAGAGGAATTCAAATTTGTTCAAGAAAGTGAAACTCTCAGATTATAAACAACATAAAGACAATATCGCTTTATTAATCTACAAATATTCCCCAGTTTGAACTGAACTATTATTTTCACCTGGCAATTAGTCGTAATGTTCCTCATATACGTAGATTGTACATTAGACACGTTGAACTTAGCTCAAATAACTTGTGCATAAAGTCAAATTTCCCCATTTGGAACAAAATATCTGATTTTCTGGCAAGTTGTTTTAGAACTATTTGTTCAAATAAATTTCGGAAAACACAGTTATTATTGGAATCAGTCATATAAAGATGTTGGAATATTATTGAAATGTAACTTTATAGGGAATAGACTCGCGAAAAACCTGAATCGCCACTAGTTCGACGTTTGAAGTGCAATTTAGAACGGAGGCCAAACTGTCCATGACGTTGTAATCCTTTTCCTTTTTTCATCAAGTTTCTTTTGTTTCAAAATTAGAAATTTAAGCAAAAAAAGAAAGGAACATGCTCCTTCGTATTTATGATTTGACAGAGCTTATTCTTGCAATAAAAATCAGAAGGCGGGGGATAAACAAAGACGCAAAGGATAAAAGAGGACAGTCAACTATATATAAGATTTACAGTACTGGTACTTAGGGTAAAATAAAATGGCTCGCAGCAATTATTTTTCCAGATTAGAAAATCAACTTCATAATTAATAATTAGGAAGAGCTGTGTTATTTCGAGAGCATATTCGTAACTATTGGAACTATGTCTCAATCTCTATTTATCACTTCGAAAGCTAATATAGCTTGAAGTGAAAGTAGGAAGACGCTACCCAACAAAAATACTTTAAGCGATTGGGATGTTCTGATATTTCTCCTATAATTGCCAGATGATTTTAAAATTCTATGTTACGTAAATTTGTACCTTCATCTTGATTGACCAGGGAATGACGCTCCGCACATGCCCTAATCAGTAAAGTGAAGTGTGCACACTTCACTCAAAAACACTGTGACATCCCTGAGTAACCTTGTGCCTCACTTGGATGCTGGAGGCCAATTGTCACATATTTGACACCTGTAAAATTCTACTCTAAAATACTGAATTTCTATAACTTCTGAATATTGCCACGAAGTGGTGAATCTTCCATGAAGATGCCTACCTTGTTGCTTCCCGGCCTTGCTGTATCACATAACCTGGTACATTTTTTTATAAAATTAAAATCACGATTGTAAGGATGAGAAAAGCTCGCACATGGACGAATCAAAACTCAAGATGGTGCTAACCCCAATGTCATCGCCATGGGAAATATGTCCGCAGAAGGATAGGGTATCAGAGGGAAACCTGTTCTAGTGAAGAAAACCAGAAGAGGATATCCTGGCAAGTAGGACAACAGTATATACTGTGAACACCAGTAGTCGATAGTCAAACAATCAATCAGTAGGTAATGGAGACCGATATAATCGACGGCGTAGCTTAAAGCCTGTATGTGATCGAATTTGGCCTGGTAATGGAAGCTGACGATCCTGTTTACTGGATGTGGCTAGACGAGTCATCATATCTATCTATTAGATCGTCTATCTTTGGGATTGATTGCTCCGGGAAAAGATCGGGATAGTACGGTAGGCGTTTACAGACTTTCGGATCAGAAACTGCTGGAGATTCTCTATAGTTCAGTATGATGATTGTAATCATCAGACAAGGCTTCTGTCTGTACAATTTCTCGTTACCAACTGTCTCCGTAGCTTACGAATCGAAACGACTCTTAAAGAGGAAAAAGCAACTTACAGTATAATAATCCAGGCTCGAATTACTCTTAGCCCCACGAAACTTGGGTATCCACGTACTTATTTACAGATTTTTAAGTCTTAGGTTAACGTGAGTTGAGAGCACTTGATTGTCTGTTTCACTCCTATTTAACTTCTTCAGGGTTGATGAAACTTGGAGATTACAACGATTGTCTGACGTTTTTCAAAATCATGTCCTTCTTACCGCTGGCAATGTTGACGAATCGAATTATGAGCATAATTAGTTGATATTCTTCTTCCCTCGTCGCATTCCAACTTCACTACTTGTCATTGACACAGTACTTGGGCTAGATGCTACTCTAACAGCGGCCGCCAATTTGATTACTTTACTGTAGAAATTGGCGATTTTGAGTTCAGAAGTGAAAACCGTGTGCGCATCGACGTTGGGTCGTAGCATGCGCAAAATCTGGGCTTCGAAACAATTCGAATATCTCGGTGCATACGGCAATTTATTCGTTATCTTAAATATAGCAATAAGTTCACATAATTTTGCAATCATGCACTGTATCTGATAACATTGAAAAATTATGATCAGTTCAGGCCACTGGCATGCGCAGGATAGCAGGAAAGAATCACACATCGTGCGTAGAGTAAAATTTTCTTGAATTGCAAATCATATGTATACAAAGATATAGTCCACACCTGTACCGGAACTAATACAGTTCCTGCGTACGATACAATTGAGTATGCGAGTTCGGATGTAGGTCTGATTCGCAGTTCAGCAAGTCTGTCTAAGGCGATTCACTGTGGGGCCTCACGGCAGATTGGTCACCTGCACCAATTCTCCAGTACTTCTCATGACCTACACAAGGCCTTCCGACTCGACTCGACAGTAAAAGCACGACCCGTTCTTAAGATATCCAAAATCCATGCGTTCTATTGACATCTAGGGTTTCTTCGGGGCACCGCCGAATTTGTTGCCGGTCAAGTCGATCGTAGAGAGGGAGCCCATGCTGTTGATGCAATCTGGGTAAGAATCGAGAAGGTTGTTCTTCAAGATGAGGGTGCTCAGACCGGACAGCTTGCAGACTTCGGCGGGGACGGCTCCGACGAGATTGCATCCATCGATGTTCATCACCTGCAGGTTGGTGAGCCCGCCGATGGTGGTGGGGAGATCACCATTGAGGGCGACATTGACGATGGTGAGGTTCCTGAGTGAGTTCAAATCTGCGAGACCGGAGCAGATTGTGTACGTGGGGCCGGTGGGAGGCGGGGCCGGAACATCAGCCGAGACGATGGTCAAAGCCTCCACTCTTCCAGCGCTGTTGCATGTGACTCCTTCCCAGGTGCAGCAGTTCGTTCCATCCAACCACGTCATGAAAGCCTTCCCGGACAGAACAATCTCCCGCGAGGCGTACAACAGTGCGGATTGATCCGTCGCGGAGCAAGTTTGTGCCTGAGTGGCCTTCGCGGCCACCGACAGGACGAGGAGCAGCGTCCAGACTTTAGTGTAACCTCCCATCTTCGGCAGCGACCTGTGCACGAGAAAACTAATGCGAAGAAGCAGCTGCACGGCAATCAACACCAACAGACCGACACGACGTCAGAAACCGCACTCAATCTCAATTCCAGACTCTCACACTAAAAACATTTGACAATTCTTCATCACTCCGAAAACCAATCCTCCACCTCAGGCAGGCACCTCATTGCGAACCAACTACAAAATCCCAGAGAACGCAATCGGATACTACGCAATGTGTCACCCTCATATCGAGGGGAAGCACGGATATAATTTTGACTCACTGACTCACACCGAGCTGGAGAGGCGGAGATTGAAGTCAGATCAGCAGGGACTCACATTAATGGAACAGAGAGCGAGAGAAATCGCAATGAGACAGCGGTCGAGGACGTGTGTGGGATGCGAGGGAACGGGAGGGGGAGTGCGGGTTAGGACTCACGGGGTCGAAGGGGGACGGAGAGGAACGTCTCCTGGAGCGAAGTGCTGGGTTGCCAAAATGGTCTGAGAGTGAGTGGCATTTGTATGGCGCCTGCAAGCAAGGCCAGACTGAGTCAGATCGAGTGGGTGTACGAAAAACCAGGACGCAGGCGGCACAGTAAACGAATGAATGCATGGAGACATTCACGGCGCCGTGGTCAACGAGGTAAATGATGGAGCCCCGGGTCCACGCACAATCATGTCGTCTTGCGCTGTTTCCTTGAAATTCTCCCAACGACATATATCCCTTCTTTTCCAAGTTCGGTATTAACTGCTGGGGGCATGCCGCGAATAGCACGGGCTTCAGTCTACGTACACCTCGGCCGAGCGGCAGATAACACCCGAATGCAGTAATCATCCTCCTGCCGGATAATAGGGCACCGGACGCGGGCCCATCGGCTCGTTGGACTCATCCGGACCCGTCATCGGGTTCTGGGCTCGGGGGCACACCGGAGGGTTTAGGGTGCCGGGGGAAGGGTTTACCAGCTCCAGCTCCAGCTGCAGATCCGCGTCGAGAAGAGACAAAAGCGATCGATACCCGTCTCTCGTAGAGCAAATCCAGGTCAACAGTGAGATGGATAGGTTGCCTTCTCCTTATCTCAGATGGTGCTGTGTGTCCTGTTACAGTGCCAGTACCCGTACGAGGCAGCGGAGGAGCTGATCTTCATCTTGCATTGACTTTGAGATTCCCCGCGGGGAAGGCCAGAAGTCAATGGCACTGGCAATCCACTCCGGCGAGTGCCAGGACACAGTCATTGACTTGGGACGAGCTCGGGTGAGTGAGTGAGTGGGCTGTGGGCGAGATAAGCAGAAGTTCGGCCAGTCGCCACTTGCTAATTGTGTCAGGGTGACGCGAACATGAAGCAGCTCAGATGGAGCACTGTACGTCCCTTTCTGCTTAACTGCGCTCCAGCATACACGAGAGCATTAATTCCGACTGACACTCGCTCTTGCAACCAACCACCGCGGCCAGGCTCGATCGCCCGAGATGAGGTGCCCGAGCTAATGCCAGTGCATGACTTGATGTTTTGTGAACGGACGTAAGCTCGGCGTATGGGAGGCATGCATTTCTTCGCCAGCTGACTAAATTTGATTAATTTGGGGGCACTGATTAAATTTGAACGAATACGAGGCCGCATTTGAGTGATGGAAAATGAGACCTCAGCTGTGGACGGACAAGCCGAAAATATCCCCGAGATTATAGTTCCCAAAGCTTCCCTTCCCGCCTTCGACCATCTTCTAGAAGATGTGACGAGCAAAAAAACCCAGCATGAGCGCAACGATCCGAGCCATGCCAATCTTCTCCGGAGGAGATTGGCACCACCCGCTATTGTACCGACCATTGACGGGTTGGGGTAAAACCAAAGTGGCGGAAAGGCTGTGTCTCTTGGGAGTTTGGATCATTGCTGCAATTCGGACGATCACGGCCAAGATTTGTTGAAGTTCATTGTCCTTACGCGGGAGATGCAGCTCGGGACTCTGACTTCATTATTGCGCGCGCTGGCCCACTCCTCGGACAACAAAGTGGGTTGTGAGACTTGGTCTCCGGTCGAGTCCGCTAGGTTGAACTGAAGTTTAGATTGTCAGGCTGTAGCGCACGTTGCTCCCATACGCAAGTCAACGCCATACACGCTACGCGTTGCACAATTTTAGCGCCCTCGGAGATTGTATGCTACCGAAAGGATCTCGTAGGGTGGTACTGGTGCTGTCTCACTGCCACAGATCGGTGAATCGAGCTAAGCTCCTGGAATCATCAGAGGTGAATGTAACTTTCCATCCGGCTCAGTTAGAACGAGGAGATTTCCTGAGCAATCACCGTAACGTATTGTAGAGTAGAGTCACTGACAGCGCAATTGGATAATTGTATGACTTTGACTTTTGGTGCCCAATGCTGAATGGCTTCGGGTCTGGGCTGTCATCAGTGGAGTCATCAGTAGAGTCATGACTAAGTAGACCGTGTCGCACACACGATCTGCAAGGGCTGTTATATAAACTCCGACGATTCACAGCAGATTCACCACTGCCAGGGCAAAGCGTGAGAGAAGCATCTCGTACACGCTCTTCACTGCTCGTAGTCGTACAAGGAAACTCTCCTGCGCAGCTCACGAGTCACTTTTCAAAACTCAACGAATCGAAGGTACGCTCAAACCTTCACACTCTCCAGCTCTCCGCAGCTCGAGCTCGTTGCGAGTCAGCGAGGCTCCACAGCTGCTGTCTAGATTTCACTACACTGTGACTTCAAAGCAGGCATGCTTGCTTGCCCCGTAGAAGCTCAATATCTGATCCCACTGCCATCGTCCTCGCTGGCCAGTTCGAAGACAGCAAGAGCTTGAAAGCATGCCATGTACTGCGACTGTGCTGAAGATTTTGTGACATCAGAGTCCTGCAAGACTCGTTTCGCCACATTCTAGCCAACCTCAGGGAATCCTGCAGTGTAGTTTACCAGAGTGTATCGGAGGAGGGCTGGCAGTCTTGTTCTGACTGGAAATTGCTGCTGTGATACAGATTCGAGGAGGTATCGAAGAGCTGAAAGTCAAGCGAGCTGCATTATGGCGGGTGCACGTGTGAAAGCCTTCGCCATCCTATGCATGGTAGCACTCTGCCTGCACATGGCAGATGCTCAAGTTAGGGGATTAAGAGTCAATTACTACCAGAGATCGTGCCCGAGGGCCGAGCAGATCATTAGGACGGCTGTACAGAATGGGTTTAACAGTGATCCTACCATTCCCGCCGGACTCATCCGAATGTTATTCCACGACTGCTTCGTCAGAGTAAGTCCCCCTTCACTATATAGAGGAAAATTTCATTCACAGCCGCAACGAGAATATTCACCGCATCCAAAACTATTTTCAGTATCTTCGTCTGAGCTTGCAGCATCAAAGTCTTTGCGTTTTCTGGTGTAATGTCAACTGACTTTCGTGGCCTTTGAATTGCAGGGTTGTGATGCCTCTGTACTTCTGGACAATGCCGATTCCGAGAAGCTGGGTGCTCCCAACGCGAATTCTCTCCGAGGATTTGAAGTTTTGGACGCAGCGAAATCAGCACTGGAAGCAGCTTGTCCCGGAGTCGTCTCGTGCGCCGACGTTATCGCTTATGCTGCCCGTGACGCCATGGAAGTGGTAAGAAGATGGCCAACATTTGCGAGATGCAGTCCTTGATTGTGCTTCCTGCTCCAAAGTTCAAAACTAACATGCTTCCCTCGGCAGGCTGGAACCGTGAAAGTGCCCAACTGGCTCGGTGGACGAAAGGACGGGTCGACTTCCGTTTCGGCTGAAACTTTGACCGAATTACCAGCTCCTTTCTCCAACTTCACCACTTTGCAGAGGGCCTTCGAGAGGAAGGGTCTCAACCAGGCCGATTTGGTCATTCTCTCAGGTGAGATTTTCACTTCACTCGCAATTTCTGATGTCCTTCAGTGAGTAAGCTCTTACATTTCCAAGCAGAGGCGACTCTGGAAAGCTCGGACTGTAAATCGTGTCATTTAAATCGAGCTGACTGATTGGTGGCTTGCTGTCTTCAGGTGCCCACACAATCGGAATTGCCCGGTGCGGTATCATCCTTCAGCGAATTTACAACTTCAAGGGTACCGGCCAAGCCGACCCCGCCATCAACCCAGCCTATGTCCAGACCTTGAGGAACCTCTGCCCATCTAACGCACCCGGAAAGCAGATCAACATGGAGATGTTGACCCCCACCAAGATCGACGCCAACTACTTCAACGATGTTCAAGCAGGACGTGGTCTCTTCGAGTCCGACAACGCTCTCAGAACTACTCCCATCGGAAGGTCTCTCGTCAGCGTCTACAGAGTTCCCCAGGTTTTCAACGCTGCATTCGTCGCCTCCATGAGGAAGATGGCCAGCATCGGAGTTCTCACCGGCAGCAACGGAAAGATCCGCACCAAGTGCAACATTGCGTAGGCTCGCAGCACATCTTTCCAAGCTTGAACGAATCAGTGTGACATTAGTTGGTCCTTCGACACCAGTCGACTTGGAGGTCTTGCCGTTCTCTTATCTGAAGTATGGCGAGAAGCCTTCGCAGGTCTTCTGCAACGCTCGGGGTTTACTTTTACCGGATTCCTTAGAATTTAGGCCTCACGTAATCACCAAGAACGATGAAGGCATTTTTAAAGTCAAATGTATTGTCTAAGTGTTTCGTGACAGATTTTACAACCAGAATATAAGATCTGCCTCGCGTGCAATGTAACATGCCGGAAATTGAGGATTGCAATTTGTAACACCGTCATGTAAATATAAGATTTGTTCCAACATCTGATTTCGCAGTCTGTACATGCAATTTTTAGGCATTAGTTCACTGCTTGATAGTGGTGCATCATTGCCGTGTATGTCCGTGGCTTTAATCTTGCCACGTGATAAATCTATTTGAATCTCGTATTGGAATTTGCATCCCTCATTTCCGTGTATCGATTACATTTGCATCAGTGATTTGCAAAATTGTGTAGACATATCCTGAACACGTCCTGCTAGGATGTTTCCATCATAATCACGATGTTGTTCGATAGTAGGAAAATATTTGTATCTCAGGTTCAAGTACTTATTCTTGTACTTTTCATATTGTCGTAACCAGCATAAATAAAATTAGTCAATTTATTCAGACGCTAGATTCAATTCATAATTACATATAATGGAAACCGTTGGGTAATAACGGACTTAAAACTAGTCCTTTGAAACTTGTTAGCATTCAATGTGACAACTGTCAAACTGTGAAATGAAATCGTTTTAGCTGGCTGTACAACCTGTGAGACGGAAGAGTTTAGACTGTTTAGCCTGTGAGACAAAATATCAACTGTCAGACAGAAGATGGATCGTAGACGTACAGAGAGATTTATTGAGATTGAGGACTGTATTGAGATTGAGGACTTGGGGCCCCGACAACAGCTGAATCAGTGCAAGAAGCCTACTAGCAGGGATGAGAAAGCTGCCATCCTCGTGCTAAGCACGCTCCTTCGTTGTAAGAAAATATCAGCATGTGCGCGTATCACACCATGAATAGGAAAGTGTCGGCTGTGATAATGAGTTGGGACCCCATCGCTCTCCGTAAACATCTGCAGATAAGTAACTACGTACCTCCCGTTGAAAACTGAACATTCTTGTGGCGGGGCCTACCATCTTGAGCAGTACGCGAAAGAAACTGCTCCGCCAAGGATTCTCGAAAGTCACGCGACTCTATGAAATGCAATGTCCACTCTGGTAGTTGAAGGGAACTTTTCTGTGAACTGAAACTTTTCTCAAATTCCAACATGCAACCGAATTAAACATTAAACAATTGAGAAATTTATGGCACACAGTTAAAATGATATATTATTTGAAACAGAAGTAGCGAGAAAAAGGCAGAAACGCCCTGCGAAAACCTTACATCAAAATTGACCACTCGCTGACCTTACCAATTGTCACGTCAAATGTACTGCTTCAGTCAACATCCTAATCAAGCCGGTGTCCGAATTAATTTATGCAAAGTTTTTGCACTGAAGTCCACTAAAACTTCGGGCTGTCAACTAGACACCGAGGAAAGGGCCGCCTATTATTGACCTTTTTCGCTCCGTGCTCCATTCGTTCCCTTGGCTTTTTCTTTTTTTATACTCGAGATCGAGCATCAGTGCTGACAAACTCGAGATACGATGATAGTACTTGACAAGTTTATTCAAGTGGCTCAAATAGGATGCAAGGCAGCCTGCTGGATGGCAAAATGTTTTTTCAACTCGATCCGATGGTAGTCCATATGTTTTCAGCCTACGCAGGCGAGCGATCATGAGAGATAGAGCTACCACTGTTTCAATTTTTAACTCTTGCAGTCATTAATATTTCTATTATGAGATACATATAAAGGTGCAATCTCAATGATTGAAAACACGTGTTTAAAACACTAATCTTTTGGAACCTCATTGTTCAAAATCTGCATGCGAATTGTTTACTTCTTTCATTTCAAGGATCAAGTTCTACCAGAATATTTGTTTTGCACTTGAAAGCGACTATATAGAATATTTTAATCAACTTCTATTCTATATTGTGCAGTTTTCTAGTTTGATCATGCAAAAAATTTCCATTGAGAATAGTGTCATTTCAACCAATTCAAAATATACACATATTATAAGAGTTTTATGTTGATTATCTTCTTCTTTAAACTAACATAAAGATATGAAGTATTATTAAAATTATATAATTAGAATGTAGGTTGTAAACAAAGTTTTAATAAAACAAGGTTCACGTATTTCATGTGCATACCTACAAAGTGTAGGAAAAAAGTGGTAATTCATTTGGATAGAATAAATTGGACATCAACATTGATGATTGAAGAAAAAAGTACATTAAAATATAATCTTTTATCACTCTAGTCAAGATCAAGTCTAAAACTATTATGATGATGTATACTCAAGTTACAATTTGGAGATCAATTTCATATTGAAAGTATTACCACAACATTCAAACTAGGAGGTTTTGTACTTCTAACATATAACAACTTAATGTGATCAAGCTCAAGCTTATGGAAAAATTTACTTTGATAACCAGAATAATGGAAATGTATTACTCATCTCTCTTCAACTCTACACTATCGGATAAGATATGAATCTATGTATATGTGCTAATACTACAAAAGAGTGAATGTGAAACTTTTATAAAGAAGCTAGACAAATGTATTACAAACTGACGCATGACATACTCATAATCACACAACCTGCTATATGAATGATTTTAAGTATCTTTACGGTATATTTCATATATGCTATACTGCTGGATCAACATTCAAGCATATGATCTAAAAGATTTGGAAAAAAGAAAGTTTCATCTTTAGATAGAACTAATTAAAGAGAAATCATTTCACTCGTTTTCTTTGTACATATAATTTGTTTATGAAAAATTATCAAAATCAAATTGATGATTAGAAAAAAGTAAAGAGATAAATCTTATCTTAAATGTCGTCACATTTATGAAATTTCAACAGTGAAATACTCACTGACTCCTCTAAAATTCGCAGACAACTTTTTTCTAATGCATCCACAAAGATGTAAATCTATATTTCATGTACAAGGCTCGTCTGTGGTGCCTAGTTTTTTTTAATTTTTGCAGAAAGAAGTTATTTTTAAACATATTCTTTGTAGAATGCATACATATAAGTACATAGTCATAGGAGTTAGGTTATCTAATGGAAATAAGGTAACCAGTAGAAGGAAGATAGAATCCGCCTTCAGCCGAAGACCTTTGGATTTTCACATATTCGGCGCAGACTTCTTCTGCGATGTAATAGCTGGGTCTTCGGCGAAGACGACATGTCACAATTTGAAGTTGCCAAGGGCCAGACAAGAACCTCATGCATTGTAAATACCAATTCGCGTGCATGTGGGAACTGTTAGGGCGTAGAGGATAAGGGAATAAAGCGAGCATTTCGCGCCGACATTGTGCGAAAAGGCGAGATCTGCAATCAAGAGCGCGAGGAAGACAAGATCGGATACATGACGCGACTTAAAAAATCCGCTGTGCCCAAATTGGTTCCGCTCAAGGTGCTCGACGTTAAATTGAGGAAGTATTGACGAGAGCTTATCGCGACGCGCCTAGATTATTATGCTGTGAGACTACAATTGCGTGTCCACGACAATTTGCAAGGAGATGATTGACAAGAATCGGCTTGGAGGCACTGATCTCTGAGGCAACTCAATGCTTTGGACTCTCGAACATTGGATGAGGATCTACTTTATCAAAAAGGATACATAAATGTCAAATAGTATCTAAAGCACTTGAAAACTGCGCGAAGATGCCCTAATAAATTAACTCCTAAATAACAAATCCAAACAATAAAAAAACTTGGGACCATGCGCGGAGAAAGATGTATTTAAGAAGGAGAGTGTGAAGGTGACGCGCGCCGAGGAGTTCACTTTCGCACCACTCTTCAAGAATCCACGATTGAGCACGAATGGATGGCGCACAGGAGAGTACTGCGACCCAATGAGGCGTGCAGTAGCACTAGCGGTGATGCACATCTTACGGCCGCAACATGGCAGGTCGGATTCATTGAATGCGCATTGCGAGGGGAAGCAATCCACTAGGCAAAAATCTTCTACGACCTAGTTTGGATTAATGTTAGTAGTAGATGGAAGGAAGCTTCGATTAGTCACATTACACCCTTCTTGGTGAATTTCTATCGAGTGATGGAATAATAGACAAAGAGCGAGGAAAAGAGATTCTCCAAGGAGCGGGAGGTGTTGACATTTGACTCCGACAAATGTATCGAGGAAGAAGACGACGTCCAAATCAAAGAGCCTCCACGAAGGACAGCACAAAGACCAGTTCGGTTGGATGTAGTCACGGTTGAAGATCAGTCCGATAGACGACTAGCGAAGAAGCAGAAGATAGCAGACGCTAGCGGCGAAGGCCAAAGACCGGAATCGCAAATGCCTGAAACACAAGTAATGAAATTGAAAACGCCAAAGCGACGTGCTAGACCGAAGAAGAAAGCAAACCGGAAGATAGTAGTATTTGAATCTTTAGAGGCTAGTGTAGCCATTTCAGAGGTGGCTGCATCTGCGATGGACGAAGATACGATGGAGGAGCCGAATCTTCAGACTGAAGGGGCAGGACCTTTGAGAGTACAGAATGAAGATACAATCGTCTATCCGATTGATCTTAATCATCTTAGATAATGATTAAGATCAATCGGTCAATATAGATGGATCGGCGAAGGAGATGAAGAAGCACAAAGTTGAATTAAGCACAAAATTGCGAATTGGCCAAGTCTTCGAAGGTCGAATTTAGAGTAAAGTTTGAAGCAGATTGCGATCGGTTGCGGAATCAGTTGAAGGCAGTTACGGAGCAGTTGGAGGCGTTGCGGACGAGAGTGAAAGAGGCAGAAGCGGCGTTTTGTCAGCTGAAAGAGGAGACGACCAACAGTTTGCGTCTGCGGATGAAAAAATCTTTGTGCAGATTTGTCATGTGCAAATTCCAAACGTTGAAGTGGATGAAATTAGACTTGTTGGAGCGACGGTTGATGAGCATGAAGACCAATGGAACCTCAGGGCAGAAGCAGTTAGTTAGATTACTCAATTCTTTCTCTTTCGGATTAGAAGAGATACGGGAGAATCTAGAGTTGGAGATTTTAGGCGTGTTGCGTAGGTTAGGAGCAGACGAAAGCTTAAAGCACGATGTAATCACTGCGTCAGATGACATTGCGCCCGAGAGTAGTTCGCCGCGGGTGGTTGAGATGTCTAGGAGTTTGGAGTGAATAAAGAAGCCCAAGACTCTTTCCTTGGGGGGCTTTTTTCGTCAATTGTCTCGTCTTGTCTGTCGTGCACGTTTGTGAACTTGTGTGTTCTGTCACCGTGCATTGTGCGCTATAGTCTATCAAAGTTACCGCATCTGAAGCTGCGAGTGTCCGATTCGAATGTGGTGAGTATGCATGGGATTATTCGGGATTTAAGCAAGTTCGAGTTTGGGTATTCGGGTCATTGGGCTGAGAATATGCAATTCCGGGAAGTTTCACTCTGAAATCTGAGTGTGGGATCAAATGCGATTACCGCCGACTTTGTTTGGATATGTTTAAGGTTGTGTGGGCGATCATACTCTGCTCTTCAGACCTTCGGCCGTAATTGAGCAGTGTCTTCTGGGAGTGACATGTGCCTGAGAAGTAAAACTCCTCAATAGAATGTTAATTGATGACTCTTCGGTGTTGCTTCTATCTCTGTGGGAACGAATCTTTATTATTATGCTCTATTTTGATAATTGTTGGTTATCAAAAGACAATTCTCATCTTTTGATTCCATTGACCTTAATGAATCTTCTTCAAATTGACCAAAGTAATTACAATGAATGATTTTGTGGAGCACATTCATAAATTACTACATAAAACAAGTAAAATGTTATTGATTTCTTCCAGTAATAGAGATTTAGCATAAAATACTCTTGCATAGTATCAATTTTTAGAAAGTTAATCAAGTTTGATTTTCAATCAAACTTGATGGAAACACTATATTTTTCATGGAAACACTATATTTTAGTTTATTTATTTATATATATATATATATATAATATGTTAAAATGTGTGCATGAAGTGTTTGCAAGTTGTATTTTCTTCATATATGAAACTACGTCATGTGTCATCATTGCAAAATCATGAGTCACAACTAAAAAATTCTAAAAAATCAAAAGGTTTTCTAGTATGAATCTTGATAATTTATCATGAAAAAATTGAGATTGAAAAAAATTAAAAATTAAATTTTGTATTATTAATATCCAAAAATAGGGAATTTGATTCGACAATGACTTTTTTTTTGGGTCTAATATATTAACTCCAAAATCAACTAAAAATTTAACAATGCAACTTCATTAATTCAAAAGCATGTGCAACAAGTACAATACAACTTAGAAATTTAGAGACTTATCGTCTACTGTAGGTACTTTACGCCAAAGTAAAGATCAGCTAAGTTGAAGTTAATTGATATTAAACTCAAATTGAAAGAAACTATATAACATTTACACATTCATATCCGTACATTTTTTAGATAAAGATCGAATGTGTTAGTAAAAAACTAAGCCATGTGCTTGTTAATAATATTTACCTTATTATTTATTTATAATATATAACAAGGTAAATAAAAATAACAAGATAATAAAAAAAGTTGTGAAATTTTATCTTTTCATTATATTTAAGATGATGTATAAATAGATTAGATAAAAATTGGACTGAAAATGAAGATTTCATCTCAAACTTTAATCTCCATAATGTGCCTAAATGAACTGAAATCTCGTAAGCATGACATCTAAGGTATGGGAGGAAAAAAAATACCATTGAAGACGTGAAATTGACTTTGGTGATGTGTTTTTAGGGTAAGAATAGAGAAGGTTGGGTGAAACGAGGTCCTCATCTTGAGCAATATCTAGATGCTAAGGAGAAGCAGGATTTGAAATTCACCATGGCAGGTTCCCTGAAACGAGGCTCTTCAAATATGTGCGGCACCTCATGCTGTAGGAGATTGGTGAGTCGATTGAAGTCGGCTAAGAGTTGCAACTTTTTGGATCTTCATTTTGTGTACATGATTATGAGTGATGTGATAAGATCGACATTTTTCCAATTCTTTATTTCCAAGAAGCTAGTTTGTAGAGAGATTTCAATACCCACATAGGATTTCTTGATGTCGAAGAAGCTGACCGAGAACATGACCACAAGCAAGAAATTCACTCGCACTAGAAGTATCTTAGATACTTCTAGTGCTAGTAATGGTCCTAAGATTCGGGGTCGATCAAACTATCACCGATGAAGTGGAATTCTGATTGTTGCAATTGCTTTCCACAATTGGGTTGTTAGTGCATGGGAAAGGTTGTGTGTGTGTTGTGATTGAACTCAAACTTAAGTTGATGGGATCCTTGGATGAAAGAAAACCTACTCAAGTTTATTTTTCTGAGGGAGAGTTTGAATAGTTGGAACCACCTCATGAACGAGATCCTCAAATCTCCTCTGGTTTACAGGCCTGAAGAGGTAGAGTTTGGATGAAACGTATATATATGTAAGAGTAGTCTTGCTGTAGGGCCAGACTCAAAGGTTGCTTGATTCAGTCACAGTCATTTCTTGGTACTTCTGTTTTTTTCCTGTGTTACTCAATACCACTCATTACATATTGTCAGTTACAAAAAATGACAATGAATATTCGGTCATGTATCTTCGCAGTGTTGGCAGTTTTTGCTCAAGGTCTGTGTTTCAAAACTCGTGGACACTGTACAGGCGCTGAGCAACACAAGCAGAGTTCTTCTGCAGTTTCATTGTTCCAGAATGAGCGTCGTGCTTACGAGATTCTCACGGAAGATGTGGATGACACGCATCTACTTTTTGCAAAATGGAGCCATGTTTCAGAGTGTCGAACAAAAGAGAGTTCAAGGTGCATATGGGAGCTGATTTCATGCCACAACAAGAGCGATTAGCGAGTAAACTACGTGATTGGCTATTGGGAGGGCTTGAGAAAGGAAGTTGTGGCCCTTTACTCAAAACCATGTCAAACCTCTGTCATACGGTTTCATCTTATATTTTGACTATCTATCACCTGAGGAGGGCCACACGAGTCATATCCGTGAGTCTTATCTCAATATTTTCAGATTTTCTATATCAATTGAAAAATTCTTTTCAAGCTTGCTCATAGTCTAGAACACGACTTGAGAAAATTCACCACCACAACATCACTCACGTCACTAAGTCTCTCCAGTGGTCTTGTGTCCACATTGATTTCCAGGTTCTAAACTTTTTGTTTGATAACTAGACTAAGACTGTGCATCACGGTCGAAGGGAATCTTCTTCAACCATGGATGGAATGGTAAATTGTAGATGTATGAAGTGGCTAAACCTGATTTTCTTATGTATGTATCCAGATGATGAACGTCTTAAATCGCTCGCACCAAATTCTGAAAGGTGGGATTACCACACAAGGTTTGATTTCGAGTTTCTCAAGGAAAGAGTACCTCTTGCTTCCAAGATCGTGTTGCTTCCAAAAATTGCTTCCAAGGCCAGTTGATCCCTTCTCAAGATGAAACCAACAAATCTCTCATGGCCCTTGTTTTGAATGAGATTTCCACCGACATAATGCACGTCAGATGTCAATCTGTGCACAACTCTCAAGTGAGGAGAAATTACGGCTTGAAGGACATCTGGCCTTACCATCAGTTCATGTGGTTCGTCGTACAAGCGAATCTCGTGCCTAACAAGATCCATTAATTGTTTGTATGGAAAGGAAAGAGTCTAAATTATTTTGTCTATCGAGTTTCTCCCCATCATAATCAACCTGCATAACCCTACTGGACCGTCAGTCGGGAAGGTCTTCGCGGGTTTGTAAGAAATCTTGGCTATGTCCTGATGATAAGGAGTTAGTCAAACAGAGCTTTCGATCTGTCAGACTTGGCCTGATGATAAAAATTTATCTAGACCTCAATAAAAAGTGAAAAAATTCAGTGTCACTTTCTGCCGGAATTTGTTCGAAACCAGAGTCTACAACAGACCTATTATGAGTTTAAAGCTCTGTTCCTTTTGTGTGCGTTCCCGCGTGCGCAAGGCACGGTGTATTGATATTTATTATTATTGTACACATCAGACTTGAAGAAATAAAAGAAATAACGTTGAGACTTCAATAATTCCTCAGATGTGGAGATCGCCTATCACTCTCTCGATCTCATTGATCTTATTGAAATTTTCTCTGGTGCTTAAGCCTCCATCATTTTACTTCGAATTTTCTCCAGCAACCAAAAAAATTCATGATTTTATACGAAGAAACATGAAGAAGAAGAAATCTACTGGACTTTCTCATGGTATTGGCTTCTTCAGTTTTTTCTTTGAAGCTCTGATGTCACCGTCGTCCTTTATTGTCTCTAAGCGAAAAGTGAATAACATCACAAACATGATTAGAGAATCTGTGAAGTGCGATGAAATTGTTCCGGAAATAGAACTAGGATTATTTCAGTTGGAGATTTCGGGTCAAATATTTCATAATAGACAGCTTGGTTAAAAAAAAGGCAGTCGCAAACCCGCTGTACTCACCTCCTGAATCCTTATGAACTTAAATTTCACTTGTCTTATTCTTACCACAATTCTGAGTCCCAGCTTTTGGCCACAGCGTTGTTCGCTTTCCAAGCGGACGGTAGTGCCTTCAATGTTGGCATGCGCAGGGCCCTCCCTTTCTTCGTTATTTTAGGACCAACGCTGCATGCACTCAAGACCTTTCCGAACAACCTAACTAGCTGACGTTGTGTTAGCTAGTTAGGTTGTTCGGAAGGTTATAAGCTACTCAAGGTTGTAAGCTAGAAAGAATTTGAAGGATTGAAATATGAGTCTCATGGTAAAAGTGGACTATCAGAAAACATAAAATTCACAAGACAACAATGTTCACGGTGTATTAAGTTTTGAGCAGCTATGCAATAATGTTAATGTAATGCTGATTTCTTTCGCATCTTACAAGATATAACCTCTAACCGACGATAACATCACATTTGCGGCTTGGAAGAGGTCTGCCCCATTAACATCGATTGTGCCGCTGACTTCTCCCCAGACGTTTCATTCATAATTTTCATATTTTGATGATTTGAGCAATCCGCAACCTTTCATCGTCGATGCATTTGTCAAGCAGGCTGCCCCGCTCTTGAAGATACGGGGTGAGAGCAGTTTCTGGAAACCCGAGGACTGTGGCTTTGTAAATATTTTCCGAAAACTTATAAGTTAATCTCTTTATTCGCTTGATGATACATATTTTTCTTCGAAAGATTGATAATTATGTGGAGAGAAAGATTATATGGTTATCTTTGGTAAGATGCGAAAGAAATCAGCATTACATGAAGACTTCTGCGTAGCTGCTCAAAGCTTCTTTGCACCGTGAACATTGATGTCTTCTGAAATTAATTCTTATGTCTTCTGATGGTCCACTTTTACCATGAGCCTCATATTTCAGTCTCGTATTTATAGGTTACACCCTTCAGTAGACATAGCTAACACAACCTCAGGTAACCTTAGTTTCTTCAGAAAGATCCTGATTTGATGCAGTGTTGGTACTAAACTAACATGCTCGTAATCGAAGAAAGGGAGCTCTCTATGCCAACACTGAAGGCAGTACCGTCCGCTTGAAAAGTGAACATAGATTTGGCAAAAGCTGGGAGTTTGAAGTGTAGGAGGAAGAAGCCAATTGAAAAGTAAGTTAATAATGATTCAGGTGATTAAAGCGGGTTTGCGACTGCCCTTTTTGAATCCAATCCGTCTAATCTGACTGAAATATAATAATCTTTTTTTGAAGATACCTAACTCTATGTATCTAACAATTTCATGGGACTATCGTAGTTGTGATGTTATGTTCTTTTCGTTTACATTGAAAGCTTGAGCAATGCGATCCAATCTCATTCCGTTCTATTCATGATGAAATTGGGCGTTGATCTGCCCCGACGTTATTAAACGGAGAGCAGAATTCAAGAGCTCCCTCAACGGTGAATGCAGGATGTGTATTGCCTCCAAATATTCCCGGTTGATATGTTACAAAGACAAATTAAGCTCATGGACGTTCAGGTCTCTCACAATTTACCTCACATACTGATTGCGATTCCGTTTGCTTATTCGTCCAGCATCGTGCTTATAAGTTATTCATAGCATTGATCACCTCTATGGAAACTGAAAGACGCTTATCACAAGTACTAGTGCAGTGAATGAAGATCTCAAATCAAATCCACATATTCTTCATTCAAAATTGAGGTCCAGATATAGAAATCAGGATCTCCTTAAAGTTGGATGCATGTTATCCAATAAAGATAGCTAAAGGGAAAGGGAAAGGGAAAAGAAATAAATTGTCTGAGTGATTGTAGATTGTCCATCATCACAAGTCATGATGGCAATGCGAAAGCTCAGTCCAGAGCTCAAATTTCAGATATTGAAGGATACTCACAACGATTTAGAGAAGAGCTTTGACAGCAGTTGTGAAGATGATTTCAGTACAACTGACACTGGACCGTTCAGAAGCCCGTGATGGTGGCGACCAATATTGTTGCAGCTGAGGTCGCACTGATGACAATAATGGTCATGACTACTCGTCCCACTTGAGATGTGATACCGTGCTCTGCATAAGCAACTCTACTTGGCTATAGACGACCTGGCCAGCGTTGGCGGGGAATGGTCGAGCAGATGCAATCTGAAATGTGGTTCATAATCTAGAAGATCGAAAAATTTCTACGGGGCTAAGATCGGTGACTGTGATTATTGCCGTCGCTTGTGCAGGCGGGGTTGGGCAGCCACTGGGCTCCATGCTGCGAGGACAACAGCAAATGCTGCGACTAGAAGGACGGGAGTCTGGTCATTCTCGCTGCAGCTGCGGAAACAAGTTAGAAAAGTGAGAAAAGTGAGATTCTGCGTGACATTAAGATCTGGAAGGTAACGAATCTTGATGGAACGATGTTGAGAAGCCAGTACAATATATAGTGAAGCCGATTTGTGTTTCTTCTGGAGGGACAATAATGGAGGTCTCTCCATTATTGTCCCTTCAGAATTGTTTCTTCCACTGATGCAGTCTGAACCCATGATCTGCATGACCGGCAGCTCGTGGCCAAAAATGTCTGCCACATCAAGTGCCATGTAAAACCTTCCAGTGAGGTTATCAAATATCTTCTGTATTACATTCAATTTCGAGCTAAATATTTCTTTTCACATTAAATATGGTCCTATATATTTCGTTCACAAAATCAGAACTTCAACGGGGCAAATACTGGTGATTGTAATAACTGCCTTCGCTTCTACTATTGGAGATTGGGCAGACACTGGGCTCCATGCTGCGAGGATGACAGCCAAAGTTGGGAGCAAGAGGACGGTAGACTTGGTGACCATGGCTGCAGCTGCGGACACAAATGAGAGCACTGATATTATGCTGAATGAGCTTCTGAGTCGAATAAATGTGAGCGATGGTGAAAGAGAAGTGGGATCCAGTGTATCAAATAATAAGTGCGTACTTGCTCTTTATTTACCAACAATAAAGCAGGCGGTTGGAAGAGCTTCAGGTGTCGTGGATTTGAGTCTTCCTTCTCTCTTCAGAAACCGAGTCCCAGCCCACGCTGCACGCTCTAGCTCATGCACGTAAATCACGTAGACGAACCAATGTTTTTTGCAAGTTCGAGGAATGTGCACTTCTGCCCTTTAATCTCCAAAGTTGACATGAAACGACAAACAACTAACAGTGCTGATTTTGTCCTATGCAAAATGTCCATGAATCTATCTAAACATATGAAAGCTGATGAGTATTTTTCCTCTACTAACTGATCCTGATGGTAAATGAAACTTTGACGATGAGAATCTAGTTCAACTATACACGTTAGTGCTTGACTTTCGTCTTCTTCGGAATCGAAGATGTAAAAGTTAGAATATCACTGTCCTTATGTCTTAAATGCCCCTACTTTTAGTGTGTCAAGGAGTGTCAAAGTGGAACAAATGTTGTAAATTCTGATTTAGTTTCCGTTTCTCGCACTAAGTACCGAAGTCTTCGGATGAGACTTTATTACACTTTTGGATAAGTTTTACCTTGAACAATAGATACTCATGTTCAGGCCGAGAGTACGCAAAACTGTAGAGTAATTGGGGTTCCAAGTTCCCCATCCAAACCAGATAAGAGGATTCTTAACTCAAATGCGGTTTTTTTTCAGCATATATGCTCGATGGCAGAGCATTGACAGGGAAGTCTCCTGATTATTCCCGTAATCATGACTTGGTTAATCTCCTATTTCATTTAGACATTGACATTGAGGTCTCTCACAGCTTTCCAGACGAACACTGATCACTAAACTGTGATAACGTTCAGGTGCTCGTCCAGCATCTTCCATATAATTTTGTTGCGGTATTGATCACCTCTATGGAGACTGCAAGAAGGCCATCACAAGTATTAGTACAGTGAAGATACATGTAAAATAAAATCCCAGATAGGTACGGTTCATTTTGTGCAACAATTTCACACAAGATTCCTTTTATTCGATACCGAGCGAAAGATATCAAACGCATGATCTCGTTCATGCTCAAAGCGCAGTAGTTTATGTTACCAATAACGGCAGCTCTAAAGTCATACCCTGAAGCCGGGTGTCGAATAGAAATCAGATATGATTATGCCTGAGTCAAAACTTGTGGTGATGGAAATTGCAGATGTGGGCAAAATATCCGAATGAGAGTTTTCAAGATACTCACAGAAGTGGAGGTAAGAGCCCCGACAATAGTGTCGAAGATGAGGTCCAGTGCCACTGATACTGGACCGTTAAGCAAGCCGGTGATGGTCGCGACGAGACCAGTTGCGGCTGAGTTTACACGGACGACAATGTTGGTCACATTCGAAAGAGTGAGCACTCGTCCCACTTGCGATGTGACACCGAGCGCCGTGCTCTGCACAAGCAAGTCTACTTGGCCGTCGACGGCCTGAAAGTTTCGGATCATGAACTGGCTAGTGTTGGCGGGGACTGTGTCCATCGGGTTCAATTTGCCGGCCAGAATCTGGAAGAGTAGAACTTCAACGGGGCTAAGATTGGTGACTGTGATGACTGCCTTCGCTTCCGCTGGTGGGGGTTGGGCAGCCACTGGGCTCCTTGCTGCGACCACAATAACTAAAGTTGCCACTAGAAGAAGGGTAGTTTTTGTCATCATAGCTCGAATTGCGGATGCGGATACAATTGAGAGCACTGATTGTCTGCTGAATGTGCTTCTGAGTCGAATGCCTGTGGGCGATGGTGAAACATAAGGGGGATTCAATGGATTATATAGTGAATGCTCTTTTGTCTCCTGTGTACCAACAATAATGTAGACGGTTGAAAGAAGTTTAGCTGTCGTGGAATCTGATCTTCCTTCTTTCTTAAGAAACCGAGTCCCAGCCCATAGTGCACAATCTAACTCATTGATGCCCATCAATCACGTAGATGAACCAAATATCTATGTCCATGCACGAAATGGCATGAATCTTCGTTTTATAAAATATTTTATGAAAACTAATGAGTAATTGTAGGCGGCTATTTTTTCTTGATGGTGAATAGAGCATTCTGCTTGGATGTATTTTAAACGAAAACGTCAAACATTCAGTTTCGTCTTCTTCAGAAGCTATATCTTACTATGTAGATTGTAGATGTCCATGAGAATGCTAATTGTAACGGCAAGTGCAGATAGAAAAAGTTTGTGAGGGTCGGGGAAAGCAAGGCAAGAGAGATACATCATTAGAATATGCTCTGCTCTTGTATCATTAGAATATGCTCTTGTATCATTAGAATATGCTCTTGTATCTGATCGTTCAGACTGATGAGTGCAAAATTTGATGTTGTCTACTTCTATCAACCATTGCTCCGCACGAAGAAGAGCCAAGCTTCAGTGCAGAGCATGAAAACAGAGATGAACTTATTACAGCTACCACAAGCCTTCCTTTGTCAACGTCACATGGGTCCTGACACAGCCTTGAATTTGTCCTGAAAAACTGCCCGAAAATGACCAGAGATGTGCAAAACACACGATGACTGATCAGACCAAGATGGATAACAGTGCTGCAGCCTCTCCGTGATATTTATGGACTTTTGCATCGGATATCGCTGCAACCGCACTTTCTCAAAAACAGCAAACTTACGATATCTTGTTTCAGAAAGTCCAATCAAACCTTCACTACCAGAGGAGCTCTCGTGACAGGACCGAGAGCAACTGCCGAGATCAATCGAATGACGAGAATTTATCTTCACAGACCTACCATCCCTGCTCTACCCAAGCCCGCCCCGGCCCCCCGAAACTCCCATATAGGTTCACCATTATAGATTGCCTCCGGCTGATCACGAGCATGGACATCACGTCGGTAGGAGAATCCTAATATTCTCTTCCTCTTCCGAGTCATGACAGGAAAAGATCCATCGTCATCAGGTGTATGAAACTCCAAGAGTGGCAAGAGTCATAGCTTTGACATCTCTCTGAAGAATCTTCACTAGAAACTATGCGTTTAAGGGACATCATACTGAACAATCGACCAAGCAGTCTATCGTTTCTGTAATTGTCCTCAAGATTTTGCAGCTTCGTCCCACCTTGCACTCGAATTTGCATTTGTTCTGTAACACTCCTTCAGGGAATTGACCGTCTATGACGGCTGATACATCACAGGAAGAATTACCAACAGGTTTGAGGCTAGAGCTGAGACCTAAGTACATACAAATCGAAGACTATAATGAAGCAGTGTGAAAGCAATTCTGATGATCATTGTTTTCAAGTGGAATGAAAATTTAGTTGTAAGTAAGTTGTATGGCATGGAGTTGGAACCTAGAGAATACGATTTGTGAATGTATTCATGGCCAAATCATACTACTTTCAATTCTGGGAACCGAACTATTCTCAAGCAGTATAAGGTGGACAGCTACACAAGTTCTTTACATCTGTCAAGAATCAGCTGTGTGGACGTGCAAAGTACAGGAACCTCTGAGCCTTCGATGGAGGTCCTTCTCGAGATTAGGAATGGGTCGGATGATGGAGGTGCTCTAGAAGATGAGTCACCGGGGCCTGGAGGCTCGAGGAGGCAGCAGCAGCATTGGGAGGAGGAGGAGGAAAAGGCTGGGAGACATTCTAAACAGGATGTCCAAACCTTCCGAATCGTAGAGAGAGCATAATCAACCACTGTTGGGGATCTGGATGCCAGCCAAACCCGGGAGAGAAAACAGGCGGAACGGGAGGATGAGACGACGTTTTAGCGATGGCGGATGTATTATGGATACACTATGGCTTAGGATATGTAGCAAATTTCGTAAAGTGTTCGGTTGGAGAGGAATTTGTTACCACAGTCTGCTTATGTTGTTAAAGACATGGCATTGTCCCTACTTACTGGGAGCCAGCTGTGGGAACCCAAGGGTTTTGTTTTGATGCAACATCCGACATCATAAACTCCAAACTGGTCCAACAGAGCTGCCGGAGATTCACTGTGCGACTAGTTCTCAGCTGTAAAATGGGTTTCTGAGATTATGAAGCCAGCTCCTCCTAACTCTCGCTTCTACCTTCCGTCTTGACTTGAAAATAGCAGACGATGATGTAGAAGCCAAGGGCATCCGAGGAGAAGCGACTTCTGAAGTCAGCAAGAGCGAAAGCCAAACGTGAAAAGGTTGTGGTTCTGAGAAGAATGCCCCCGCTGAATAGCTGTTTTCAAGGGCAGCTTGAATATATTGACAACGGCACCTCGGTCATATACGAAAAATGGAGTGTGACTCATCTTCTTTTATAGAATTAAGATTTATCGACGGAGCAATCGGAGTACGTATAATAAACTTCGAGAACTGTTAATCAGCTGCCATCCCACTGAAATCGATGCACTGAAGTAGCTCGGGAGTAAAGCGAAATCGGTTAGCTTCTAGAAACAATGGCTGCAACTTCAGAGGGATGGAATGCTTACTGGAACAAATTCTCAGCACTTGATGCGAATAATCCACAACGCCACCCTGCTTGATTTCCTCGAGCAACACCAACGTGGCTTGAAGCCCAATATCCGCAGGTAACTGTGCTTCACGTGCATCTGCATCTACAACACCATCACCTTCTTGATGTAGAGGAGTTGCAGCTCCTCCCTCCATCCATCGGCAGGCACTTGAATAATCTGAAACTTCTCTCGTGGTTGGAGGCTAAACCCCAAACCCATGGAGCGTTTCTCTTGCCCGGAACGGCCATGCGAAGGACGTTGAACTTTGAATCTCCTCTGGTCACGCCCACAATGTCAAGCTTTTGGGAGAACCCTGAGCCATGTGGAAATGCCGACCCGTTCATGGCGAAGACGATTGATTCCACCTGAGCTGCTAACTGACAGAGCGAGGCGTCAGCTCTGCGTCTCACTGTATCGGTTGGGTTGAATGACTGAAATGATGTAAGAAGAGTGGGATCTCGATGAGCGGAAGATCTTGGGTCTCGTCCTGTGCTCTGGAATGAAAATGGAATACCTGTACATTCTTATAGTCCAAGAATTTTTCACAACCGGAAGCCTGAAAGTTTTCACGCACTAATGATTGTAATATCTGGTTTTATCTACAACCACTTCATAGCCGATGCAAATGTTTTGGGAGAACCCTGAGCCATGTGGAAATGCCGACCCGTTCATGGCGAAGACGATTGATTCCACCTGAGCTGCTAACTGACAGAGCGAGGCGTCAGCTCTGCGTCTCACTGTATCGGTTAGGTTGAATGACTGAAATGATGTAAGAAGAGTGGGATCTCGATGAGCGGAAGCTCTTGGGTCTCGTCCTGTGCTCTGGAATGAAAATGGAATACCTGTACATTCTTATAGTCCAAGAATTTTTCACAACCGGAAGCCTGAAAGTTTTCACGCACTAATGAATGTAATATCTGGTTTTATCTACAACCACTTCATAGCCGATGCAAATCTTGGATCTATCCACGTCTGCGTGCAACCTACGCTATCTCTACACCGCTTTGGGCACTAATGATTGTAATATCTGGTTTTATCTACAACCACTTCATAGCCGATGCAAATCTTGGATCTATCCACGTCTGCGTGCAACCTACGCTGTCTCTACACCGCTTTGGGCACTGAAGAAAGTTGCTGTGTACCAGAGTCATTTCTCATTTTCATGAAAGTTCGCTCTGGGTGGATCTGCTTCGCAATACCTCGTTGATCTGCAAAACGTCATATGCATGTGCGCGATCATGGGAGATTATGGGAGATTATATGAAGAAAAGATATGATTCTATGATTACGTATGGTTATGGAATTTATGACACGGTTTGTACTGGCACACCTTCGGTTGAGGAATCCAATCTTCCGAGCCGAATCAAACATTCGTACGCCGAGACTCATGCATATGTAACTTGATATTTTACTGAAACGTTTTCATTGGATTGCTTGTGTCAACTAAAATTTACTATACAAGCTCTCCGGGAGAGCATTCTTCGTACTGGATCCTATTTTCAACAACTTCACTACTAGATGAGTACAGATCTGTAATGATAATATCACAACGTCCGTAGCCCATAATTCTTGAGGAGAACAGGGGATAAAAGAGCAAAAATGTCAGAGAATTTGCTGCAAATCGGTACCTTGCCGGGCAAGCTCCAACAACACAGGTCATCGAGAAATTGGTTGATGCTCACGTCTTCACTGCGTACATCAAACAACACACAAGAAGCCAAAATTATTGCATACCATTATTTTACAAATGCGTAAGGCACAAGGTGGTAGATGCAAATCGGAGACCTTGACTCTTACACCCAGATCATTCATAATCCGGAGTATTTTAGAGGCAAAAAAAGGTCTCAATGTATGACTGACAAACACAAGGAAGGAAGGACTGAGTAGATCGAGCCAGTAGATGTAAGCATTATCCAAAAAGGAAAAGAACCAAGTGACCGACGCATGAAACTATAGCGACAGTCAAGATGGCAATTATTGATATCAGGAAACCAGGACAGTTTACTTACTTTCCATCGTCATGTTTTCACCATGAATTTGCGAGCAAGATGTTGAACAGTAGCTGGTTCTATGGGCGGGAGAACAAAGAGGATCACCGGGCACAATCGACTAATGGTCAAATACAGACAAATAGAAAGCCTGTCCTTGATAGCAGTTCGAGCTTCGGTTCGATCGATTCGGCTCAGAGCTCTCACATAGCGCCGCTGCCGCTGCTGTCAGCTGATCCAGCCCTCATTGTCCGTGCGAATTTGTCCATGCATCGGCGCCTCAGCTCGATCGTCGAAGTGCGGAGTGCGAACCCGTCGCGGGGCGGTGGTGGGTAGGCATTTCGGATCCCGAGCGTGGGAATTCGATCGGGCTGCCACACTCGTTCGTGCTACCTGAACCGAGTGCACGAACCGCTTCTCTCGAGCACCGACGCACGCACGCACGCACGCACGCGCTCGCTCGCTCGCTCGCTGACTGCTAGAGGATAAGCAGATGGGGTTGTATACTTCTGAGGCATGAGACAAAATCGGCCCTCACAAAATCACTGCTGCACATCGAGAGGGAGACAGAGAGAGACAGAGTGTGAGGGAGGTAGTGAGAGCGAGTGCGCTGCGGGCCATCCTCTCCGATTTCGCTGTACAGATAATCAGTCTCTCGATGTCGAACCAGGCAGGCAGGCATGCCTGCTTACAGCGCTGTGCGGGCCCTCCTGCTCCTGCCTCCTCCTCGCCCTCCCCGTCGTCGTCGCCGCCCTGGTCCACCTCCTCCTCCTCGACACCAGACCCAGACAGCACAACAACACTCGCACCTTTTTCCTCCTGCGTCTGCTTCGAATCCTCCCTCCCTCCCTCCTCCCTCCGTGAGCCGACGCCGCAGCTCTGCATACGACTTCGTCCAGATTCCCTCACAATGTCTCGGGTGCTCCGGTCAGACTCCTCCTCCGACACCCAGCGCCGTACCATATCCAGTGCATCGTCTCTCTCCCCATCTCCCTCTCCTCACTGAACGCGACTGCAGTCCACGTCCAACTCGCTTCCCTGAGATTTCCCCGCTTCGTCTTCAGTCCAGTAGCAGTAGACAGTACACTCTCCTCACACCTTCACGAACACCACGTACTTACGTGGTACCGTATGATAATTTAATCTTGATGGTTTTCCCAGTACGACGGTTCTCTGACCGCAGTTCCCAAATACCGGATGCCGTAGACATGTGGACTTCTCATGACTCGGTCGTACCTCTGAGACGAGCTTCTGAAGTTCTCTGCCCTCGGTCTACCGTCAACTAATCTAGCGAGAATATCTCGGTACTACCAGGTCCAACTTCCGAGCAGAAGGTCGTCTCTGAGAGCCATAAAACGGGACCAGAAAGTGCTGAAAAACACCAATGAATAGGCTGATAAATCTTCAGAGCGAAAAGCTCCTCCGATTAAAAGTATACCAGAAAATACTACGGTCTTGTGGCTCGTGACCGACCTCACCTTTGCCTACTACTGTGGTTATCCGGGTAGAATTTCTGTGATAGGCGGATGAGGTCCGGTACGGTTAGGTAAGCCCGTGACAGGGGTTAGGCGGGGTTTATTTAATCCATGCTGGTTGAGACCCCCTGACATGGTTAGTGAGCAGTTCTACATTCCAGAGATATCATTACCTAGAGACTGCTTAGATCCACTGCTTCCTGTTTAGAAGAGGCCGTGGATAACTCGCACTATTTCATCGTTCGCTCTCTGTTCATGTTACTCTTTGATTATAGCAGAGTCCAGGATAACCATGCAGACATATTACAATTTCAGTGCCTCTTCTATGAGAAACTAGAGTTAATAATTGGCTATTTCAGAATTTTTACTGATTTGAAGAAATCGGGATCGAGGTTGTTGTAGAGTATGTCTTCTTAAAAAAATTTAAAAAAAATTCTATTCTCCACAAATTATATGAAATATAATAGGTGAGTAATCTAGAGAAGAATTTCTGAAGAATATTCAAAAATTTGGTGGGAAGGGGGGGTTTAAATAGAGCAAGAGTTTTAGTCTTACCTCTCTTAATCATATGGTGACAACCATTACACAGTTATATTATATGGTTTCAAGCACATCCATAACCAGAACTATGTGCAATAGGCACATGATTAAAGTGTCTAATCTCAAGTAAATTAGACGCAAATCCCGAATAAGATTAGGCATGATTAGACATCACCACTAAAAGAATCTGAAAACACTAAAAGCTCATAATGTTTGCATTGAAAAGCTCATTCCAAAGAAAAATCTGTCAATGACATGTTGAATATATCCTTGTGTAATTTCAACATCGAAATGTTGTTCTAGATCGGAGCTCTGTTGAGAAATGGCAGAACCAGCCTGCCAATGAAGTCAACTAGAGGATTGAAACAAGCGGTTGAATAAGGTAATGCCCACATATTGTCAAAAAAAACATTGTTGATTGTAGAAATTGATGGGTTTCAAACATGTTGGATCATTCTTGTACATGGTGTAGAGCTCTGCAAATTAAGATATTATCTTGTTGTTATCAAAGGAAGATCAACTATAGTCAAGGAGAATTTTTTGTTGGATGATAAGTCACCAAAGCAAAATAACCAAGATTTTCAATAAAGTGTGATGTAAATGAAGGAAGTTGAGAAAAAGAGTGCAAAAGCTCGAGCGGTCGCAAATCAAAGAAACTTTCGTTTCAATGAAATCTTATGAAAGTTGAAAAGAACCTTCGAGTGCTTGATGACAAGGACCGCATCCTGCGCTAATTGTTTGTTTTCTATTTTACTCTTTCGTTGTCAAGTACTCATTATCGTCTATTATAGTCAAATGATACTTTCAAGAAAATACATTCCGATAATGTTTTGCTCAATTTACAGAATTGATTTTTTTTCTTGCATTGATATTCGCGTATATCATGTCAAAGAGTTATCAATTATGCAATATGTATACAGTAAAAAATGAAATCATTGATTAATTTTGTTTTCACATGATTTCACAATAACTTACATAAAAGTTGAAGGATATATAAAATTCAATATTGTATGAATGTATACGTCATAAAATTATCAAATGTTGATTATGGTTTTGTTTATCATGTTTTATGTAAAGGGTTTTGGTATTTTTTTGCATTCAAATATTTTTCAATTCAGCGAATGAATTATTTCTGCATATAATGTATCTGATAAAAATGTATGTAATTAAATTGAATTTATTTTATATACAGATTCTAGCAAGATTTAAGTTATCACATAAATTGTAATCACAAAATTTTAAGTTTCAATTATACGTTTGCAACTGCTTATTTTTATCAGTGTTTGAAAATCAAAATCTATTTGAATTTAATTGAGTTCAAAATTACTCTAAGCACAGCCAAATGTATAATATATTTTGAAAATCAAACAAGATAAAATGAAAATCTTATAACATTACACTATTTATTAATACTACACATATCATTTTTAATTTTAATATTTGACAATCAAACTTGATTCACAATCAAGTCAATCAAGTTGAAATTATAATTAAGCAAAAAACACATGTTTTACAATTTTAGAATATTCAATAAATTAAATTAAAGATCTAAAATTGCAAAAATAATTATTTTTATTGCGATTTTGACTGTCTAGTAAAGTCTTATAATCGGATTTTTGTATCAACTTGTAAATTTTATTCAATATTAATTTCATTCATTTTAACTTACAATAAAGAAAATTATATTAGAAAATATTAAATTTGATCAAATAAAAATCTTAAAATATTTTCTTAAACACGCAAAATTTATTCACAAAATATAATTTCATATTTTTTCTTAGATAAATATTATTTTTATAATAATCTATTGATAAAAAATTCACATGTTTGAAAAAATAATAATTTATATGTATATCTAAAATTTTAACATCATTTTACCAAATTATTCTTTTAATAACAAAAAAAAATGGTTTTTTTTTCCCATCATACATTCTTGCTTCCATTTACTGGTCTTTGGAATACTTTTTATTTGTGATCAATATTTATCTTTGACTTTAGTTGCTCGCACTTGTATCATCATCTAAATTTTTTATTATTACTCATTTATATTTTCACCACTGTATTTATAATTATTTTGATATTATTTTCAAAAAATTCATAAATTATATTTCTTGATATTTAATCTATATGCAAAACTGGAGGTAACAAAAATTTGGGACGTGGCTATTATCAAGAAAGAAAATAGAAAGTAGATTTTTAAGATTTTTTTGGCAAAAAATAGTTATTAAAATGACATAGATTATGACAATGGAATGTGAAATGCTATGATGGATCGGATAGAGAGAGAGAGTCTACGTGCTTCGGGCGGTGGAGCGCCCCAAACAACGGCGATGGAAAGGCACAGAATCAAATTCACTTTGCAGTTAAGAGATAAAATCTGAAGCGGCTAGAGTTTGCGAAAGTCTAACCTCATCAATTGCAGAGTACATGAAGTACAACAAATGGTGTAGCTTGTAGACTGCTAGAGCATCCTCTTGTGCGCTTTGAGAGTTCTGGCGTCCACGTTGTCGATGCAATCTGCCACTGATCTGTATTCGAAAGGGAGGTCTAGAGTTTGAGCATAATTTGATAGCCTTCTACATGTCGCTTCCAAGGCTTCCATGGACGTGTCCAAGCCAATCATGTGCACTCTGGGTGGACCATTGGGTCTTGAAGAAAGAATATGGAAGAAAGCTGGCCACTAAAGTCATTGCATAATATCAATGTCCATAATGCCATGTTTTCGTCTCCTTAAAAAACTTCTAGAATTGGTTGATGGGCCCTGAAATGGAAGAATTTCGCAAATGGGCAGATGTCATTGAAGACCTGGAAAGCTGCTACAACCTTTCATTTCTAATAAGTTGCACATTAGGAAGAGTATTGCAGATTCCCAAACAGGAATAGAGCAGGCGAGACGACATAACTTCAGCAAAATAAGTTGCCACTCTTTGCACATGAGTATCGTATGGAGATCCAAGCTTGTTTAGGTGCGGAGGTATCTTGTTTGCCTTCTCAACATTGTAAGCCGACAAAGAAAATGAGCACTTACTCAAAGCTCTAAAGTCTTGCATATTTTGATCACTTTTGATATCCAAATTCCCTTTTGTTGTTGCTAATTGCAAATTTCCCTTCCTTCCTCGCTATCTGTAGCATTTACACCACCTGCAGTCTTTGTGGAAGCCTTCCTTGTAAGTAAGGATGACCCAGATGCATTCCTTTGCGTCATGTGTGTTTGAGATGCAGATGTATCTTCCTAGGTAAAGAAATCTTCGATGATAAATGACAAGAAGTCTTGAAAAACTTGTTTGAGGCGGCTACCAAAACGCTGTTACATATGCTAAAGCTTGTTGCATGTGGAGAGGAGATACAAGCCGCAAGCTTGGCTGAGGAGCAGATGAAGTAGGTGCAAGCTAATTTTTGTTGCGATGTGAGCAAAATGAAGCAAGATACCCAAGTCTTACGCCGATCAGCTTGCGCATCAACTTGAATCATTGAATTCAGCTCAAGAGCAGAAACTTCAGACAAAGTGTGTCGTTGCAGGTTATGGAGAGATTAAAGGTGGCTATTCATCATCTTGAAGAATGATGTAGCTCTCAAGCTCTCAAGCACACGGTATCTATTTTTTGAATTTAAAGTATAATATCTGCAACTTTGTGTGAAATCCTTTACTAAAGGTATTCATAATTATCTCCAGCTGTAATTCCATGCTCTCGATTTTTGCTTCAAAACTCCATGTCAATTTGCCAATTCTCATCTGTCGTAGAACGCATTAGAACTGAAATCTCTACAAACTACCTTCTATTTGACAGTTTTCAAGTTGCTGATTGACTTAAGCACTCAAAGACGTTCTTGGGTTCGCCATCCTGTGTTCGTCGAGAACAGTTCACGCTTAGGGAAGAAAACCCCAAACTGCTATACAACTTAATATGGGAACATAGCTGGGAGGCCAAATTTCTATTTTAAGCAAGCATGTGATCATCTGTACTAAATTAAAAGACTTAATCTATCAAAACATATAAAATAAATTCATGAACTTTTTAATTCAATATATTTATCTATACATTTAAATTAAAATTCATAACATTGCTTAAAAAATTATTTGTTTAATTTTATTTTATATAAAACTAATAATGTTTATTTTATTTTTTATGTGCAAAAATAGTAATACTCAAAGAAAAAGATTGTAAATAAGGCACTCAAAGCAAAAAGTTAGAACTAGTATTGATACTGAAAAAGCAAATACAATTGATGTTGACGAGTGAAAGACAATATCCGAAGTTTCTCTATTTGTACTGCTATGATGCAATTAGAAAACTTTAAAGTTGAAAAGTGGCACCATCTTTGCAGTTGGAAAAAGTAAACATTGTTTCTGAAGTTAGAAAAAATCTGCACAGTCACTGTTACTATCACGTCCATGACATCATACTACTTCAAATAACTAGTTCACACAAGTTGTGTTATTGATCCTATCAAAATCAAACAACTAGAAGTTCATGTGATATTTACATTGTTAGAGTATAACTTGATGTTTATCAGGACATGTTTGATTCAAATATCTTTAGCATTAATATAATCGTCTTTAACTAAAGACAATTATATTAATAAACTAAAGTTATAAAATTATAACTAAAGTAGAGGTTACTCAAAATAAATTTTGTTAATTAATAATGAACTATATCTTATAATGTATTATCTAAGGTTGTCACGTCTTCAATATGTGAGTTTAGCAGATATGAAGTATGTATTTAGTTGACAGTTACATGTTAGCCATCTGTAAACTCGTTAAATAAAGATCGAGTGTATTAGCTTATTTGTTAGTTGAAAGTGACACGTCGGCATTTCATCTAATTGTTAGATAATGCTGAAGTGTGTTAGTTTATTTTTTAGTTGAAAACGACTCGTCGGCATTTCATGTAATTGTTAGATAATGTTGGAGTGTGTTAGTTTATGTTTTAGTTGAAAACGACTTGTCGGCATTTCATGTACTTGTTAGATAATGTTGGAGTGTGTTAGTTTATGTTTTAGTTGAAAACGACTCGTCGGCATTTCATGTACTTGTTAGATAATGCTGGAGTGTGTTAGTTTATTCTTTAGTTGAAAACGACTCGTCGGCATTCCATGTATTTATTAGAAAAGGATTGAGCATGTCGGTTTATTTTTTAGTTGAAATTGACATGCTTGTTATATAAACATTGAATGTGCAAGAATAAAATATGAATGAATTTATTTAATTAATTCTGAACTATAATTATAATTAATCGTATAAGGTCATCACGTCAGCGATACTTGTGTTTGATAGATAGAGAATAAATATTTTAATTGATAGTGACACATCAACAATTCATGTTCTTGTTAGATTAGACTTGAATCAGTTTTTTTGTTTGTTAATTGATAGCAACACTATAGTAATTCCTATGTTTGTTAGAATTTGTTGCCATGTTATCAATCTATAATGATTAGAATAAATGATGAGGATGAGATATGTATTCCTTATATTTGTTGATAAAATAATAATAAGTGAGAGTATAATCATAGTTATCTTGCAAATTCAGAGTTGTGTTACATCTTCAAATAAACTATTCTCTATTTCTTTAGTATTAAAATGATATTATATCCATTCACTTGTTTTCTTGAGTATGGATTATCTCTCATAGAATAGTAAGAATATGATGATATTATTTAATTTTTTGAATTATATAATGACTAACATTGGTTATTGATCTTCATATAAAGAGAGGAAAAAAAAAGTAAAGTTATGATTTGAAAATATACATGTCGCTGAAATGACAGTGGAGTAATTACCAATCTCCACTCTCTTTGATATTCATCTTTGTTGTATGAAGATATTTTTAATTTTGGATGTATATTGTGGTATGTTAGGATGGAATACAAATGATTAGAGTGATAGAATCAAGAATATCATTGATATTACCAATCATTTTTTATTTACATAAGATTATATCGTTTATATTTTTCATTGAATGTTTGATGGATTTGAATCGTATATATATATATATATATAGAATCATTCAACTTGATTTGATTCAATATATATGTAGAGATTCTGACATTATATACCAAAAGAAAATGTGGAGAGATTTTGTTTTTCAGATCATATGATGAATAATATTATAGATTGTTATAGAGTCATCTCTCCTCTTTTTTATTTCTTTGATGCAAGGGTTGATAGTCATTGTACTCTGATATCTATCGATCTAATTGTGTGATGAAATGAGTTGTCTATTATTCTTCCAATAGCAAGGGTTACCACATGTTTCATCACGTGGTATCAAGTAGTACACGGACGTGAAGATAAAGCGTGTGTCTCTCGTCATATTTTGTGGGTTCAAATGGCAAAAACAATGAAAAATCATCGTTTGGTATTTTCAATGTTCAATGGTTAGAACGGGATATCTTGATTCTTTCAAGAAAATATTGTTTACCAATGTTTTTTAAATCTATATTTCAGACGTTAAATCTTTAAACGATAGATTGATGGAAAATTCGGACAATGTTTAACAAGCTCATTCTTAGATAGATATTTCCATCATCGAAAAAATCCATGTGAGAGTTCTTACATCTCCATCTTTAATAGGATTAGAGAATTTTACCAATGCTTCTTGTCGGTCTTTGTTGGGAATCACTTGGCAATTATTCAAGCACCATTCACGCCATTTTCAAATGTGCGAAATATTGCAAAACTTGACCAGAACAATCAGAATGAAGTTACTCATTTGTAAATGATGAAGTTTGAAAAATTATGTGATTTGAGTTCACACTTCCTTGTTCAACCGAGATTATTTCTAACGGAATTACAAAACCATACTCATAACGTACAATTTCTCCTATATCAATTTTCAGTCAGTCTGGAGTCTGAATATTCTCCAGACTGACCATCTATCATTTTGATTTTCAAGATCTGGATTTTCGGGACATTCTACATAACTCACCTGAAGATTTGAAACTTGGCATCGACTTTCTCCTCTGCATGGAGACATCACTCAATAAGGGAATCGAACGAATCAACCTCTGGCATACTGCAATAAATCCAGCTGTACAGTGTTCTCCTGATTCACAAAGTGCCAATTGGTCTTCTTAAGCACAGTTTGAATCAAAAGTTCCTAATTTGTCTATCTTCTGCTATTGGTGCTTTTGCTTTTTGCTTTTTGCTTTTGTTGTTTTTGTTCATATGATGCTATGAAAGATAACGTATACCTTTTGTAAGATGCAGTCGCTTTTGGATTCATACTACACGGACAAGATTACCACAGTGTAAGCCACAATCACGTGGATTTGTCTATCGACAGTGGCCACCGGTATCTACATGATCACCGGTTCAATTTCACACAAGGCACGAGATCGGAATATCCAAATCAGCTGCATGACTCGGATGAGTACTTTTAAGATACAAGTGCAGTTTATTTAAAGATACAAGGAGAACATTCTAGCTAATGTCTATCCAGTGAGCTAGATGAGCACAGCAGTTGTTCTTCAAATGAAGCTATGCATCTGAGCGACAAATTCCAGTCGCTCAGCACAAGACCAATGTCTATCCAGTATGACGGATGAGCACAGCAGTCAAAGTTCAGATGAAGCTATACACATCATCTGAGAGACCAACTCCAGTCTCTCAACACAAGACCACACGTGTCCGTCGATGAATAGGATCGAAAGTTGGCCTACTTTCAGCTATCGAGATATGAATCGGTGGATGGCGCTAGCTACAAGCTGGTTTGGAACATTTCCAGCAGATGATCATCAGAATGGCGAGCACGAGTCGGATGAAAAAAGGCTAGCTGCAGCTAAGGCCTTTTCTCACAGGTAGAATAACTAACTCGGACCTAAAGTCCCACGTCTCCACCTCCATTGGCCTAGAACGAAGTTCACTGTGTACGTTAATAGCAAGTGGGTGCAAGCAATTGGCCCTCCGCCGCCCCCAGTTTGACCTGAATTCGGATGACATAAGATGCGACTTCACCTCATCGAGAGCCTGTCAGCGTGATCAGGAGAGTGAAATGTAGCGCGTTCTTACGTGCTTTTGGCGCCTGGCTCTCATCCATTTCGATTCTTCCTCAGGATTCGGCTGAAGCTAGAGGCCATCAAACTTGTCGACGGTGCAGAACATGGTTGTGAGCTATGTGCAGATGTCGAGAGAATGGACGTCTAAAGTGGTCCGATTTCTAGATGCTGGAGGCGGAAGGTGGACTCAAGATGCTGCAGGCAGAATTTGGAGCGGCCTCATCATGTCATGGTCCTCGTGGTCCAGGTTGTGACAGTGCCATACGTAACCGGGGAACGTGGTGGGATCGAACGTGTAATTGCTGCCGTCTCTGGGAGCGAAATTCATCAGAATTCTGAGTCTCGTGCCCGGGTAGACGATCACGGTGTCCTTCCAGCCGACTTGAGTGGCGTCCGGAGGCTGCGGGGCCTCAGTGTAGCAGCTGAGGGACTCCGGATATGACAGCAGGAGCGAACACAGGCCACCATTAAACCGAGTCAGATCGAACGCCTGCTGATGCAACACGAGGAAGTTGATGAGATGAATGTGGATCGGATGAATGCCGCCCGGAATGAGGTGAATGATATCCCAAATCTCGGTCGTGTAAAGCTTCGGCGTCTCGGTGACAGGATCATCCCAGTGATTCTTATTCAGCAGAAACGTCAGGTCCGGCGGCAGAACCACATCCAAGGTCACATTTCTGTACACCGCCGAGTCTATCCAGGCGGCGGTGCTAGGGGCGGACCCGATGGAAGTAGGAATGACCACACTCTGCGCAGGCAACCCGGGTATGGACTGAACGACATTGAATTTCATGACGTGCCTGGTGCTGGGAGGACTATTGATCGGGTCCCCATCAGGAAACGGGGCCGGAGCAGTATTGTTCAGATACACCGTCGTCCCGACGGGAACGCTTGAGAAGTCCACGAGGACGTCGACTCTGTAAGCAGGAGCCATGGTCAGATTCTGCAGCAGCTGGGGAGCCCACATGTAGCCGCCGTCCGTGCCGATCTGCACGAACTGGAGGCGGCTGTCGCTGAACGAGAGAGTGAAGGCTCGAGCGTTGGCCGCGTTCAGAATGCGGAAGCGGTACACGGCCCCGACCACGTCGAGGAAGGGCCAGGCTTTGCCGTTCACCAGAATCGTGTCGCCGAAATAATCCGGGCACCACTGCGGGTGCGCGGGCGACAGCGGCGACCCGAGGTCCGGGAAGTTGATGGACCCGTTGGGGTAGAACTGCTTGTCCTGGATGACCAGCGGGATCTCGTACCGTCCTTCGGGCAGAGAACCGGGCTCGCCGGATCCCCCGCGGATGAAGTACAGCCCGGCCAGCCCGGATACCACGTTGAGCCGAGTGTAGCCCAGAGTGTGGTCGTGGTACCAGAGAAGGCTCGCCGGCTGCTCGTTCGGGTACGTGTTGTTCGTGGCGATGAAGGTCGGGCCCTTGTCGCCGGCCGCCGTGAACCAGGCCTCCGGGTGCCCGTCGAACTTGCCCTCGGCGTCGGCGCCGTGCAGGTGCACGCTCATCGGCACGCCTCCGTTCGCTGGCGTCGCTCTGTGCAGCGTCTTGTCCACGGTCAGAATGTGCTCCGCGTCGGTGATGTGATTCTCGAACCGAATGAACGAGGCCACATTCCTCCTGGCGTTCAGAGTCGGGCCCGGAGATGTGGCTGTGTCTTGACTCGTCCCGTATCCGTAGAATGTCGTGTTCGGAAGGTCTGGATGGACGCTCTGTAATTGCACACAGCAGCCGCGGGTTAAATTCTGTTCGGATCAATTTACGAAACTCAATCCACGCAACCCGTGACTGGTATTCAATTCTCGGATTCTCGAGAATTCTGCTGCAATCTCAGACTACTATTGGCCAGTCTAAGAATTTCGTAACAGCGCTCATTTGCAAGAATTGTACGACTTTTGCAAGCATGCAGTCGTGCAGAAAGTATTCATCTGATAACATGTCCCCATCTGGAAATCAGCTCCGATTATGCATCCTCTGATGAGAGAGAACGCATGCCTCACTGTACTTGACAAACATAAAACTGGCTCTATCGGAATCCCCTCCGGTACAAGTGAACCATTCAGCTGCATGGACCTTCCACTGTTGTACTTCAGCTGAGTGTTTTGTACCCGGGGTTTCTGGCATAAAGCAGTGCACGCTAAAACTCTGAGAATCCGTACCTGGGAAATCTTGTAAGCACCCAAAGTCAGCTGAGACCCTGTGGAGATGTCGATTTCCACAGGTATAGGCAGTGGCTGCACGAATGGTGTCAGAGTAGGTGACGGAGTCAAGTTTCCGCACCGGGAGTGAACATCCTGAGCCTGAATCACTGATAGTGAGTACAACACCCCGAGAAGACAGGCAAGCTTCAGATGAGAAGCATGGCTAAATCTGAGAGCTGGAGCCTCGGTTCGTCTCGGATTCGTCCCCATGACGGTGATGATTTTGGAACTGCACGTCGAACTGGAATTGAATTGACCACGTGGATTTCACAATGTCTATGTGAATCGTACTCCAGGGTGTACAACTCTGAGTGAGGTAGAAGCTCATCGAATGTCCTTATAAAGGCTCACTCTCATGTTCTCTAGATCGTGCGAGAACGCTCCTACTCTAACCCTCGAAGCAACCGGGATCGTTCTGCAGAAACAGCTGACAGAATTTACTTTTTTCCACTTTTCATGACACAGACCGCAGCGTGGACCACCGGTGCTTGCTCGCCTTGAGAGAATAATTCTTACAAAGTCGAAACAGGATCATGAAAGGGTGCTAGAAAGGAGGAATCCGAACAGACTGACCAACGGTGGATTCTACCTTGCGGAGTCTACTATGACCCTCGCACATAACGATACTTATCTCTAATACGTTTTGAGAGAAATAGTAAAGTCTCTGGATTGTCTCATCAATTGTCTCTGGATCTGGGCTTCCATGCCTCGGAAATCCGAACCCAGAAGTGGGACTCTTCGTGGAGTCTGGCTTCTGCAGTACTCAGCGGTGGTAGATATTGCTTGCATGGACACGCCTGCCTAACTTGAAGCGTCTGAGCTAGGCCTGTATACCAAAGTTTGGACCATATATGTTCTTTTCCAATTATTAGATAAATGTGCCCTTGTCGGACTAGATTATGAGATTGCCATCTTACAGTAGTCTCATGTGGGTCTTTGAAGTGAACTGGAAATACTCCAGTCGACGAGTCCGTGATTAGTGTAGAGAGATTATTTCGATAACTTTATCATCAGATCTCTTGACAAAGTACTTTTTATCTGGTTTTACTGCGTTCCGGCCAAGGTCCCTGCTTCTTGTGTGACGTAATTATGTGTCTCCATGTACGACAGAAAGCATGTGAATGCGTTATCGGTTTGCAAATTCTGAAAACTCATGCAAAAAATCGGGAATCAGGTGGCAGCGACATTTTAGTCCAGCTCAATTCTTTGAGAGGTGACGTAGTAAAATTGTGTGACTTTCAATTGAGAAACTTTTTACGTTATTCGTGCGTGAATAGTCTAAAATTCAGATTGAACTATGCTGCCTTTGCACCCGCCTTTGGGTGAGGGCACATCAAGAGACAAGCAATCTCATCATTATCTCATCATGGAGCTCGCCTTCACGGCCAAAGTCCCTATATATTTTGGACAAATGACCTTTTGGGTCCCCTGATCTTACTTCATTACATTCCACTGATTCCATGAACCATATCTGCTCCCTCCACCCATTTCTTGGAATGATGTTCTTACATCTAATAGTCCCATGAATGTACATACAAGAACTGCCTGACTGCATTTGCAGTTGAAGTTGACTCGTTCTCTTAAAGCTGAATCAGTTCAATCTGAATAATCAAGTCCACATTATAACTCCTGAACTAAGTTGATCCATTCATAAGCCAACACAAAGTGGACCACAGCTGCCTCTTGACGGTGCGAATTCGCGCGAATCCGGTATGGAGAATAAAGAATCTGGTAGACATCCCGCAATGACTGGACTTCCAGAACCAGAACGGCAACAGGCGACTGCCATCTCTAATGTTGTGTGCCTCGTGTAATATTGAGGATAGAACGTTTCAGACTTATCAGCGAACGAAGAAGTCAAAGCTTAATTCGTGAGCAGCTGCTACTACTTTTATCCCACAGGTCCTTCGTATGTGAACTGCTCGGACAAAATCTAAGCTTCTGGCTGGGATGAAATTCTTCAAAGTGAAATCATCGGAATGTGTCCGGAGAATCTTCCCTGCTGACTATACGCGTATATGAAGTGCTGACAATCAGCCGCATTACTGCGCCCCATTAAAAAACGTGTCGACGACTTTTAAGGTCATTTTAAGGTCCTCAGATTGAAACATCTTGGAAGCATGCTAGTCGGGGAATAGTGGCCCTATAATCTGAAATATAGTGCCTGTACTGAAATCGCTAGATATGTGAGTCTTCCAAGTTCTCCAACTCAGTGAAAGTTTTGTCTCATTTTTCGTGACACACATGTCTCCGGACGCTTGCTCAGGAAAGACTCAACCCAAGCTCTTTGGTGGTCAAATCCGGTCTGACCAAGAAGGTCCCGTTTATTCTGTAAAAGACTTGGTCTCCATCTAGAGAAATTTCTTTTCATTCAAAGTGGGGCCAGTATCCACTTGTCTCGCTGTTGTTGGAGACTGTATGTCATTGAGTATAGAGAACGCATGTCTTCAGACCGGAAAGCTTCAGCAGTCTTTAACCAGAACTTCATACGATCAGAATATTTTCTTAAGAGTTCAGTCGACATGGTGAAGCAGATCCTCTAACCTGAGCTTTGGGAAACTCAATCATTTGACGTATGCGTAGTTCAAACTGATTGACGCTATGATGAATTTTCTTCTCGTGTACGATTGAATTTAATGCACATCCTTTTTTGATCATTGCCAAGTCAACTTCAAAGGCCCTTTTGGTCTGCATGACATGTGCCTGTAATTAAGCCATGACATGTGCCTTAATTGAGCTTTAACGTTCGTATGCTGATCCTAAGCTGCATGAATTTGATTTGAAGCTTAGTATGTCGGAAGGTGTGTAACAAACTTATATTCTTACGCCTGTTGCGTCTGGCTCTTGAAACGTCGAGGAGTGTAATTGTTGCCAATGAGTCGGCACTGAATGTAAAGTATACCATAAAGATCACTGCGCTGACGTCAACTCCCTTCCAATACGACGAATTGAGAGTGAACAGCATGTCCGAGGCTGGACAGCTGACAAATTGTCCAGGCCTGACCTGACATTGATATGAGACGTTTCTCAGGAAGACTCATGCGCTCGTGGATTGCTCTGAACATTGCGCCGTTTTTCTTCACACAATGATTTGACCTCCAGCTAGTCCTGTACTGATTGGCACCTAAACGATCAGGAACTGCGCTTGGCTGAAGTTCCTGGAGAACGGTATGTACCATAAGACTTCTCCAGATGGTTGAAGAGCAGGAGATAGAGCTGCGAGATAGATACTGGGCTTGAGTACAGGAGGATGATATTCGACAGCAACGGCATGCAGTAAGACTTGATAGTCGTCCCCTAGTGGAGGATATCACCCTGCCATGTTGATCTGAGATACACGCCAAGAACTGTGATGTGTCGGGCACGAAATCTCAGGATCTACGTTAGGTCTACAACTCGCCATACCTTGACAGACCATGCCCAATTGGCTCATAGACTTGAAGGTTGTCACGAAGTAATAAGGGTTACAAAGTCAGCGTGGCTCTCCAGGTCACGATCTCCAGTCTCCAATTTCATCTAGTATGATGAGAAGGATGAATTCTGTGCCTTGTGTGCATGTATCGGCTGGAGCTTTCAGAGAAGCGTGGAGCCTCCCATGCAGCTAAACGACTCTGAAACATTCGTTGCAACTCTGAAGGATTGAATCCTCAGCCTTGCATTCTGCGACCCCAATTGCTCACGTGGGGTTGACGGCCGATTCAATATAGGCTGCTGCTGGACGTTCAGTAGACCTGCCGTGCAATTTTCCACATGCACTTTCCAGAGACCTGGGCAAGGAACCCAAGTCTCTGAAGGTCAAACCCAACAGAATGTCTTCCATTCCTACCTGTCATACTTTGCAGAGTCCTCGTCGAATCTTATACAGCAAGTTGAGAGAACGGCGTGATGTCATCGTGCGCCATTTCTTGTGCATTTTGGATTGTGAAGTTCTTGCAGTGGACAACTTGCCACTCAGAGCCGCAAGAAGTTTCAGCTGAATGGGATGCCAAATCGGGAAGTCGGAAGGCAAGGTCGCCCGGCCTGCTTACGAAGACCAGGGTTCTTGCAATAAGGTCTGGAGGGCAGGAAAGTGTCATAGTCTATGGGATGTGAGCTGTGTCCATTAACGCCAATGTTAGTTTTGCTTATCAGCAAAAGTAACTCTTCGATCAGCAGCCGTCAGTACTTGACATCAGGTATTTTAACTTACTGAGCCATTTACAACGCAACAAGGTTGTGTATGGTGCACATCTCTCTCCGCACTGCGCCGCTAGCCTCACCCCACCTCGAGAGTACTCCATCTGTTTTGGCTGCTAGTCCTGGACACCACGAGCTCTCACATGCATTCATCGTCAGAAACGAGTTGGGCGAAATCGGGAGGATTACATGTTATTTCTCAAGCTGCTGAAACAAAGCCAAAGTGCCCAGCGCAAGAGACATGTGATGCTGGACAAGAACCATTTTCATCCATTTGCCCGCAGATCTGGTTTCAAATGATAACAGAGAAGCCGTGATAGAAGCTGCCATGTCCGAAGTCTGACGTACCGTCCAAGCAATCCATATCTTACGTTTCTGCGATGAACTTGTTTCTAGTGGCTTGGATACTTAACAAAATTCCGAGTGCCTGGTTATATCATGTCCAAAATGGGGGATTTGAAAGCTCTCTGAACCGACCACGTGCACCTGTATTTCAAATTCACGCCATGTACAGACGTGAATGGACTGAATTTCCCAGAATCCAGACATCCGTATTAGGAACCCTGAGGCTCAACCTCCGCAAGTTTTCTTCTCGCCAGGAGGTACAGCACAGCGAATGACAGCTTGAATGGTAAAGTTGTCGGGGTTTGGACCAGCTGCCGAAGCAATCATGATATTTTCCGACCAATGTCAGTATGACACCTGAGCTGCTCGAGCTCTCACGTCAGTTAGCCGTCTTCTTCTTCTTCTTCTTCTTCTTAAGGAGCTCACCAGCCTCGCTTGGTATTCAAGGCACCTCTGTCAAATCTCTAAAAGAAGGATTGCGTCGACAGCTGCTGCTCTCAAACAAAGCGATCGGAGAACCGGCAAACTATCTAAATTTCCTTGAGAGTAAGAAAGTGGAATCAGCAGACGGTCTATCGAGCTTGTCATCAGTGAGTGAAGGGCCTTCGGATAAGAACCAAGCAAGACTGCTGCAGAGAGAGGCGCTGGATTCGCTCAAAGTCTACTCCATATCCTTCGCTCACAGTCTACTCCATGAATTTTATGCTCGGATTCTGTCAAAGTCTACTCCATATCTGAGCACCTCCAAAATCGGCTGAGCCTCTTAGTTTCCACATCAGACTTCTCAAGTCGCAGCTCAGCGGGGATCTGTACATCGCTCCAATTCGCATTGGAAGCTCCGATGGCTGCCGTGTATGGCTTGCTTTCTTACTCACTCGTCTCTGATCTTCACGACTTTTAATACTCATAGACGTGTACACGATGCTCAGACCTCGCACGTATGAGCTTCGTCTGTACCATGCCATTTCTGCACTGCAACAAGGCAGCGAGATGGAGGAATGACCCCGTGTGTGTGTGACCGTTCTCGTTATGAGAATGATGAGGTCATCTCCAGAGGATG